AGGATTTTAGGCAGTAGATCCATCAGGAATGCAACACTCTTAACTCTTTCTCTTCTTTATCTTATAGTCAAGGAACTTGAAATACATTCTTTTCTATTAAGACTGTATAGCATCCACAAGGAACTTTAGAAGAGAAGGAGGTGGCAGGGGTGGGGAGGGTGGCATGGAATTTGGAGATAGACAGAAGTAATAGAAACAAGATAAAGGGAGACAAAGGCAAGGAAAGACAATGAAAGCTCAGCAGGAAGGTCAGCTCTTGAGAACTGTTTCATATTTCATGCTTTGCGCTTGCACTCTCTGAAGAGTTCCACATAATGGTACGTAAATGTGTCTCAATATGGTATATAGTGTACTGAATAAGTAAGCAAAAATCACACATTCTGCATTTCCCCAAAAAGCTGTGGGGGGGAATCTAATCCCAGTTTAGTTCATTTCTAGGAAAAAAAACAATTTCCACTTCTTAATTTTCATTTTATTTATTTAGCATAGGGGATGAGGAGGACATTAATTATATGAAATAAAGCACTATCAGAACAAGGATGACATTTTTTACTAGAATGCTATTTTTAAAGTACAATTTAATTAATTTCAGGCCTAAAGGACTTGACAATGTTATTTTATATTTAATTTTAAGATCTGTAATTAACCTAATAATGCTCATTCTAGATTTAGTCATTTAATCTGTACTGGGCCAAGAATAAAGTGCTTACTTAATCACTTTTTAATTATAGGAAAATAATACAATCGATTTAGATTAGGTTCACTTGGCAAGGATGTTAATATATTGAGAATTTTTTTACTACATTATTAGAGTATTTGTGCTGAAAAGGTACTGATCTTCCATTGTGAATTTCATGCAGTTTTAAATATCAATTTATATTCTGTCTAGATTGCTTTAAACAGCTGTAAGGGCTTCAATTTCAGTACACCTGCTATCAGTAGGTGTATTATCAGGTTAAAAATTTTTTTTTTTTTTTTTTTTTTAAAGATACCTGTAGTACTAACACTTGTATTTCCAGCCATAAAAATTAAAAAGCATGAGACAGGCTCCCAAATTAAAAAAAGAAATTGGTTTTTTTTTTGTCTCCTACTTTTTGAACTTTTAGTGTTCACGTTTTCAAGTTTTCTTTGCAACCATGAGACTTATAAACTTATTTATTTTTTTAAATCCCAGGTCTGATGTTCATGTATTAACGTGATTCTACAAGCCTGCGGCCATAAAAAAAATCCGTATGAAAAGCTGGTTTCTGTATTTTCAAAAATGTAATGAGATACTTGTTTTGTGAATCTTTTCATTTAATTACACAAAACTTAAATTTGGAGGCTAAATTATATGACAGTATCCCTTGATGAATTTTGTAATCTCCAAATAGAAATAAATATCGTTAGCAGAAACTAAAAACATTACTGGGAAATCTATTTATCTGAATAGTTTGCTCAGCAAGCTGGGTTTGGCCTGAGGATATAGCTACAATAACTGCAGATAAATATCACATGTAATACTTCTGAATACTTATGTTTCTGATTTTTATCAAGAGCAAAAGGAGATAATTTGTGAACCAATGAACTTGCAGTTCCTATAGTGTCTTACTCAGCTGATCAGACCACAAGATGGGGAGAAATAGTTACACAGATCTGAATTTTCTTGTTTCTTCAGGAACATAATTTCCTCTAGGCCCACCCACAACTGTGTATGTTAAGGCCATAATAAGCTGATGACCCTTCTGTTTTATATGTGCATGCCCTGTCTTGTAGACTGATATTAGAACAACATTAATCCTTGTGAAAAATGATGCACTATTTAAAATAATTTAAATAACTGTTTTTCCTAAAACATTAAACAGTGCGATTGAACTCAGTGATTGTTTTGTCTTGGCTTCTTTTTGAAAAGCAATTGTTTAAACACAGTCTGGGAAAAACAGTTTAAGATACCGTAGGTTTTTATTAAGAAATAAGAAGGCAGAATTTTATTTAAAATCTTATGTAAATAAAACTGCATATTTTTAGCCTTGGTTCTGCAAACTTTTGTTGTGTGTATTTGTTATGAAAGCGAAGGATTACTAGTACTGGTTAGAGCCACAAATAATGGTGTCAGGACCTGTGCAGATTTTTTACACAGTTCTGCTAATGTACCTTAATCCTGACAAGTGACACATCTGTTACTCAAATCTTAGGCTTGTCTCAGACAGACACTGCTGGTTGTACAGAGTTGTGTGGTGGTTGTGATGTGAATGCTGGAAGCTAGGTGAAAAGCTAGAGCATTAGGACCTGATCCAATTGCTATGGAATCAGTGGTAGTTTTACCATTGACTTCCATGGGCACTGGATTAGGTCCTTAACCACTTGAATCGCCTCAGTCTCTTGGGCAAATTCTCAAGACTTAGTATGTTAAATTTTATATGTTTGATGAAATCATGTAGTCACTGTGTTCAGAAAAGGTAGGAAGAACTTTTAAGAGTCACCTTACTCCCCCTCCCCCAATAAAATAGCAAAATAACAAAAATGTAAGTTTTTAACATTTTCTTGTTGGTTTAGACTAGGAAACTGGAGTGCTGTTCCAACAGTTGCACCCTATTAATTGCTTGTTTAATTAGTATTTTGGTTTTCAGGATGCGTATCACCAGGTGTATACAGACAAATGTCAACACTTTGCCTCCTTCCCCACCCCCCAGTAGAAGAAGACATGTGCCTTATTTTCAGCAAGCCGTGTGTTTTTCTTGCAGAGGCTGCACACCTGAACCTATGTTTCTTGTCTTCTTTCTTTGTTTTCAGTTACTGCATTTTTTGTTCTCTTTTTTAAAAAAAAAAGGAAATGTACCTTCTGGTATGGGGACCATTTAACATTGGAAAACTCATAACTTTCAAATTAGCAAACACAAGGATCTGGTGGCATGAGGTTCCTGTTTTGTACCTAGCACATGAAGGCCCTGCTTTGATCTATGCCTTTAAGGTCTGATCCAATTCCCATTCTAGCCAATGGAGAGACTAAGGCCTTGTCTACACTGCCACTTTACAGCGCTGCAACTTTCTCGCTCAGGGGTGTGAAAAAACACCACCCTGAGCACTGCAAGTTTCAGCGCTGTAAAGTGGCAGTGTAGACAGTGCACCAGTGCTGGGCCCTCGTGGGGGTAGTTTTTTAACGGCGCTGGGAGAGAGCTCTACACAGTGGCAGCACTTTAACGTTGCTAGTGAAGACATACCCTCACATTCACTGGAGTTGGAGTTGTATCTGATCGTTCACACTTTTACTTGATGCTTGATTGTGTTAAACTTGTTTTAAGTAAAAGATCAACAGAAAAAAGGAATTTGTTGAAATAGATGATAATTTTTGTTTTTAAGGTTTTCTATGGGTTCATTGCAAGTCAGGTCACATTGTTGGGCCTGTTCCCAAATGGGGTTGTGCCATCTGCAGATGGGGGCGTGGCAATCCCTAGTGCATGCAGATGCCAGTTTGCTCTGCGCAGCGTGACCTCACGTATGTAGTGTATGCAAGGTCATGATGCATGGAGGATGACACTTTGCTTTACAAAGTGGCATCCTCCATGCTGTCTGGGGTCCCGGCAGGACCTTTACTTCATTAAAATTGGGTTGTGTCTGCAAAAGGTTTAGGAACCCCTGGCTTAAACGACTATAAAATTATAATATTACAGCCTGGTCTACACTCAAAAATTAGATCAGCATAGCTCCGTTGCTCAGGGTTGCACAGGTTCTGTGCCATAGCTGTGCAGCGGTAATAGCTGTAGTGTAGACATGACTTACATGTATACATATCAGAAATATTTATATGCAAAAGTTACTCAAACTTACTTGTTTGCAGGACTGGAGTCATATTATATGTATGTACATCCACCATTACACAACTCAGAAACCTAAATGAAATAAAACAGGCAAGGTTTTTACAGGAACAACAGAAAACAATGTTGTGAGTCCCCCCTACTGGATTTGTTTTGTTAATTATTTAACACATTCTTAAAGCATTGTTTACAATATTTGTATTCTGTTTCAGAAAGGGTAAACGAGATGCCTGTTAATTTTATCTTTCCTAGAAAAGCTGGAACTAACCTGGTGAATGTGTAAAGGACAAAGTCAGTAGAGAGAAATTTTATTAGCCAGCTCCTATTAGGATATTCCAAACAATGGCTACTATAACATGAATAAAAAGCTACTAAAAAGTAGTTTTCTGAATTTTTTAAAGGTTCATATTACAATAACATATAATTTCATCACCAGGTTGACTTATGGAAGGCAGCTTGTGGGGAAATATGTTAATAGATTTTCTCTTAAGTAATTTTACATTCTGGAAAAGCAGTATGATGTTGAGTACAGCTTGACAGATGTTGTGGAGTGTTCTAATTTTTGGTTTGGACTTGTTTATTCTTACATGAGGTGTTTTCTTGCATATGTTCATTTTGAGTCTGTTTAGTTCTCTCTTGGTTGTTCTTTGTGAATAATTGCACTGTAGTATTTTCATCTGAAGCTGCTATGAAATTCTCTGTTTCTGTAGATGAGTATATCTCAATCATTCTTCTCTGCTTGTGGTAGAGTAACAATTTAACAATAATGGAACCATTTGTCATGGGGTGGGGTGAGGTGGGGGGGAGTTTATTTTGAAGTAGGAGATAAGAAGTCATGACTTTTGTCTTTCTGTATTTTTACTCTTGTGAGCAATTCTGGTTGTCAGATGTAGCTATTGGGAAGCTCAGGAGCTTGCCTTATGTCACCATGATTTGTTGCCATTTTTATGGGCCAACTGCTAGAATAAGGATTTAATATTAAAGGAATGCCTGAATTTTCTGTTTTATTGGTGTGCTTTGTATTTAACTACTTAAATATCAGTCAAGACCATTTTTGTTTCAGTAAAATGCTTTGCTAAACTGTTACAGATAAGTGTGCAAGACTGCCTGACTTCTTATTAGTAGATAATCATGACTGGCATTTAGATTTTTTGTTGTTGTTTTTGCTAGAAAACTTTAGTGAGATGTTTCCCTTTGTCTCTGTAGTTATCAGAGACTGTTACAGACGATTGCTGTACTCGAGGCTCAACGTACTCAAGCAGTTCAAGACCTTGAAAGTTTAGGCAGACACCAGAGAGAAGCACTGAAAAATCCCATTGGATTTGTGGAAAGACTCCAAAAGAAGGTATACAATAGGCATTTCTTAAGTTTTACGGAATTTTTTTTTATAACAATTAACTCATTACCTATTAAAAACGAGTGTATTTTATATATACCTGTGTAAATATTAAAAGGTTTAAATTCTTTCTGTAGTGAGAGAAAACTGCCCTCTGTTCAGGTTTGATGATTGGTTAAATGTTGCTTAAACCTATAAAATACAAGTAATTTTGAAAAATTTGTTAAGGACACATTTTTATAGGAGTATAAAACTCATCTTGTCTTCAAGCTTTCAATGCATATGGGCTTTTCAAGACTTCTATGATTAGAAAGAAAGCATTTTGCGGTAGGAAATGATATCAAGAAATCATGACCTTTGTCACCAAAGAGACTTAAATGCTTTGAGTTCCATTTCAGGTTAGGGTACTTTTAAATGGAGATTGTGAGCAGGAAATGTAGTTCGTAAACTGAAAGCAAAATGAGCTATAAAGGCATACCTCAAACCAGGAGAGTGCCAGTGATTATATCAAGCTAGTGTACATGTGTGGAGGAGGGTGAATTTCAGTAAAGAAACAGATTTCATTTTCAAAAGTTTAAAAGGAAGTTATAACAACAGTAACAGGGAAAACAAATTTTTAAAAGTCTTAATAGTTTCTTTTTTAAATGAAAGCAATGACTGACTTATGCTATGATAGCAGCATATCTCTCAATGAAGGAGAGATGTTGGTTCTGGGAGATTCCCTTTTCATAAGCTAGTATAAACTTGGGGCCTGATCCAGAGGCCACTGAAGTCAGTGGTTGTCTTTCCATTGATTTCTAAGCAAGTTATAGTTGTGATTCATCTGGCATCCAAGCACTGTGCTCTGGCAACCATATCAGCCAGTCCTTGGAAAACATTAATGCCTGTTGCAGAGCATTTCATGTATTTTCCCATCTTAGCCAAAGAAATTATGCCAAATGGGGTGGGTGTGGGTGTGTGTGTGTGGGTGTGTGTTGAGCATTGCCAGCAATTGTATTGTGGGCAGAAGGCAACAAAATCAATTTAACAGTAAAAACACTGTATAAGTCATTTCTATTATAGTAGACATTTAAGTTTGCATGTGGATGTGATTAATCAGTTCTGATAACTGGGTTCCTTTTAGTTCTCATTAGTCTACTGTGTTTGCTTGCAGGAGTACAGGTCTGGGTATACAGTATGTTTTTTTAATATTTAACAAATCAATGAAGATAGACAGTAACAGGATATGAAAATCAGAAATACTTGGCTGCAACTATTCAATGTAACTTTTAAACTCCATGTCCAATAAACCATCATTGACCGTGCCGCTGCATATTTTATATGCCCTGCTGTGTATCACTCTTTGAAAACGCTTTCCCTATATAAAGAATATGTGCTGCATGGCACTTAAATATAGAAACTTTGAGTCCTGCTGTTAGCTAAAAACAGATCCAGGATTTCTGTGGTTCCAAATCCTTTCATTTGGATGCTCAGTGATTGCATTAAGTATTGCTTCTCATTTTGATTCTTTCAGGTTGATATAGGGCTTCCATATCCTCAAAGAGTTGTCCAGTTGCCTGAGATTGCCTGGGACCAATATACCACCAGCCTTGGAAACTTTGAGAGAGAATTCAAAAACCGGAAACGTAACAGTAGGAGAGCGAAGCTGATTTTTGACAAAGGTAAGTGGAAAACTAAGTGTATATTACAGGAAAAAATAACCTGCTGTGTTGGTTTAATAACCCTTTCTTTATGTTGCTTGTAGTAGGTTTGCCTGCAAGACCAAAAAGCCCTTTGGATCCCAAGAAGGATGGAGAGTCCATTTCATACTCGGTGTTGCCTTTAAGTGATGGCCCAGAAGGTTCTACAAACAGCCGCCCACAGGTAAATGTTATAAAAAAGAAAGTAGGCAAAATTTTACAAAATAGTAACTTTAACATGGATTACTTATTAATACTAGATTATGCGGGTAGTGTTAAAATTGTTATAATAAATTTAATGCCTCGGTTTCCAAATGTTCAAAAATTCAGTCATCAAAACACTTGGTGGTGTCATCTTTTCATGTGACCAAGTCAGATAACTTTTTTCTGTCCTCTACCAAAATAATGTTTTCATGTATGTTTTTCTTTTACTTGGGTGGAAAAAGGGTTAAAGTCAAGTTATCCTAACTTTTTTTCTAAAGTCCTATTCCATGTTATATACTGTATTTAAGCAGATGATAAGAGGGCGACTTTGCGATGAGACCAAACCCGAAACTTTTAACCAGCTGTGGACTGTAGAAGAACAGGTAATGGGAAACCCTAGCTAGCTCGTAGACCATTTTGTAACCGTACAGTGATGTTCACCAAAATAAACTCAAATTGTGTAGTAACGTTTAAAGTGCATAACGCTTTGGAGTCAAAGATAACATGTATGTATTTATTCATGTTTTGCACCAGTTTGATTTGATTTTTTTTTTTTATAGTGACAAGCCATGCCCCTTCTAGATAAGGTGTATTAATGTTTATGATCTTGTCTTGTGCTTGGTTTAGAAAAAACTTGAACAATTACTCCTGAAGTACCCACCAGAGGAAGTAGAATCCCGACGGTGGCAGAAGATAGCTGATGAACTGGGAAATCGAACTGCAAAACAGGTAATGGGGAATTCTCGTGCATAAGTAACCATCTCTCTTGTTGCTTTGTAGACATTCCAGGAAATACTAGAGGGGGCAGGTGTCAGCTGGTCTTTTGCATAGTTTCTTCAGTAATGGAATTCTTATGTAGGATTTGCCTTTGCAAAAGTCATGTCAATTCATAGAGACAAGGATTTTTTTAAAACTGTAAAATGTATTTTGGTTGGAACAGAATTGATTGCTTCTGGGGGAAGAAACCTCACCAACAAATTCTTTGCTTGCGTTTAGTGGCTATGCCCCGGGACTACTGACATCAATTACTGCATCCTAGGGATGTTGAAATAGATACAAAATGGAGTTGCCCACATTCCATTTGGAGATTTTAAAAAACTCATACTAGATTTAAAAAAATCAGGAAAGTTGTCAAGTCCTCAGAGCCAACCTGTTAATCTTAATATTTTGATGAAAAATTTAATCAGTCATCCAAAGAAAGGTCTGCAGCACTACTAACATCTCTACTAGGGGATCTGACCGTAACAAACCTAGGGCTCTTTGTTAGGACTCTTAAATGTGAAATTGTATTAATTTTTAATAAATGCCCACAAACCATGATTAAGCTGTCAGGTCTAATTGTTGTGACAGTGGCCCTGTGCAAGACTGGATTGACTCTCCTGTGGGCCCGGGGCTATTAGATTTTGTGGGGCCCCTGTATACACGTCTTTTTCCTGGGAGGGAGTTTGTTGCAGGAGGGGGCTCTGGGCTGGTGCAGAGTGTTGGGGTGCAGGAGAGGGTGAGGGGTGTGGGCTGTGGGAGGGAGTTTGGTGCAGGAGGGGGCTCCGGGCTGGGGAAGGGAATTGGGGCACAGGAGGGGGTGTGAGGTGCAGGCTCCAGCTGGGAGGTACTTATCACAGGCGGCTCCCAGCCGGCAGCGCAACAGGGCTCAGACAGGCTGCCTGCCTGCCATAGCCCCACGCCACTCCTGGAAGCAGCCGGCTGCTGGCATGTCTCTGCATGCCCCTGTGGGGAGGGGGACACCGTGTCTCCATGCGCTGCCTGCACCCGCAAGCACCACCCCCGCAGCTCCCATTGGCCAAGGGAACTGTGGGGATGGTGCTGGGGGCGGGGGCAGCACGCGGAGCTGCCTCATTCATACACACACACACCCCACACCCTCCCGCCAGGGGCCAGCCGCTTCCAGGAGCAGTGTGGGGCCGGGCCAGGCAGGCAGCCTGAGTGCCCCTTTTAGCGGCCCGGAGATCGCTGCCTGTGATTTATTTTTGCGGGGCACCCCTTGAGCCGGGGCCCCCAGCTGTAGCCCCTAAAGCCCCTGTCTTAATCCGGCCCTGGCCCTGTGACATTGTTTTCGGAATACAGCAACACCAGTTGCTGACAGATTCATTTACTTTTAACTCCTATTGTAAGTTACTGTGAATGCATAATATCTACTGTTGTCTTTCCAGCAGAAAGAGACAGTATGAGGGGCAGGTTGTTCTTCAACACTGTAGAATGGGCAAATATGTCTATGTTCTGAGACAACGTACATGATCAGACACAGTATCTTTGATGCAATTTCAGAATCAGAAACTTAACTGCTATGCTCAACCCCCAATTTTTTTTTACTCTTTGCAGAAGAAGAACGTAGACATTTGCCTTTTATAAATATTACATAAAGTTTAGAATGTCATGTTTCTCTGAAGTTTGTATTTTTCTTTAAGCACTTCAGGCAAACATTAGATTTTTAGTGGGTATTTGAATTCCTTATTTAAAAGTCACACCGTATTTATTTATTCATCTAACACTTAATTAACTTATCTTGTTTCTTTTAGGTTGCCAGCAGGGTGCAAAAGTATTTCATAAAACTGACTAAAGCTGGCATTCCGGTACCAGGCAGAACTCCAAACTTATATTTATACTCCAAAAAGGTAAGACTACATTATAGCAGAAGACTTCATATTTGCATGTGCATTTACATGCAAATTAGTTTTGAAGATACTAAGGATCCTACTTTAAAGTGTGGAATGGAACCTTTTTATTAAATAGACTGCTCATCCCAAGTTACATGTATCTGTTATTTCACTGATAGAGGTACTTTTTACTGCTGTTAGCACCAGAGAGCAAGCTGAATTCTATTCTGGTTTGCACATCAACAGTTTTAAGTAAGTAAGTACCTGTTGTAGAGTCTTTATTGGTGATGAAGTGCCAGCCAGAAGCACACATTTGAGTTTGCAGGGCTGGCAGGTTTGTTTACTCTCTTCCCCCCACAGCACATGCACACATAAACTGAGCATATTTGAGTAACTGAAGACAAAAAATATAGAATCCCAGCAATGGCATTTTCACAGTCATCTTTCAGAGAAGAACAAAACTTTAAATTGATAAAAATTAAAAAACATGGAAGATGAGTTTTCACAAAAATGAGTATATTTAAACTACCACAGCCATAGAGTTAACACTGAAACTGTATGCTTTTCTCAGGCCTGCAACTCCTCTAAGATGTAAGATCATCCACAATTATTGTACATCACATATAATTTTACTTCGTAAGCTCTTTGTGAACAAATCTCCACCCCCAGCCCTCCCAATCCCGTCCCCCTTGAATACAGTGTTGCTCTTGGAATGGTAGAGAAAAGAATAAGAATAGAAGGATAAATTCAGTGATGTTTCTGAGAATTCTTCCTAGTACTGGGAAGAGAAGAGAAACTCAAATATGTATTTAAAATAGTCATATGGACTGATGTATGCAGTGTTGTTGTAACCATGTTGGTCCCACGATATTAGAGATATAAGGTGAGTGAGGTAATATCTTTTATTGGACCAACTGCTGTTGGTGAGAGAGACAAGCTTTCAAGCTTACACAGAGCTCATCTTCAGAAACTTAAAAGCTTGTCTCTCTCACCAACAGAAGTTGGTCCAATAAAAGATAGTATCTCACCCACCTTGTCTCTCTAATATGGATTGATATAATTTTATGTGGCACTCAGATGCTGTTGTGATTGTCATAGGATATTAACAAAAACAACAAGCAGTTCGGTGGCACCTTAAAGACTAACAGATTTATTTGGGCATAAGCTTTCGTGGGTAAAAAACCCACTTCTTCAGATGCATGGAGTGAAAATTACAGATGCAGGCATTATATACTGACACACAAAGAGAAGGGAGTTACCTCACAAGTGGAGAACCAGTGTTGAAGGTCAGTTCAGTCAGGGTGGATGTAGTCCACTCCCAATAATTGATGAGGAGGTGTCAATACCAAGAGAGGGAAAATTGCTTTTGTAGTGAGCCAGCCACTCCCAGTCCCTATTCAAGCCAAATTGATGGTCTTAAGTTTGCAAATGAAATGTAGTTCTGCAGTTTCTCTTTGAAGTCTGTTTCTGAAGTTTTTTTGTTCAAGTATGGCTACTTTTAAATCTGTTATAGAATGTCCAGGAAGACTTCAGGGTCTTCAAAATTTTCAAAGGTGGGTGCAGTAATGTCCACAAAATCTATTCACACCAGATAACTCTGCGAAAACATGTATTTGCAATTGTAGGCCCGAATCCTGTAAAGACTTATGCACATGGCGTCAATGTGTAAAGATAAGCATCAGATCCGTACTAACTCCATCAGAGTTATTTTTACAAACAACCTTTCAGAAGAAGCTAACATTGCTGCCACTTTGAAAACTTAAAAATCAGCATTCTTTTGTCCATTCATATCTAATTACTATGCTTGAGGACAAAGGAGGCGGATTTTTTTCCCTTCAGTTAAAGTTTTAATAGAAAACAATTGTATTGCTGAACATGAGCACAAAATAGTACTACTGAATGTGAGCAGACTGTGGCCCATTGCATCTGCTGTGTAACCATAATATTAATTGCTTCATGGGTAGTTTTGTAATTCTTTTTAAAATATTTATTTAAAATTTTTCCCAAGTTTACAGAGATTGTCTAAGTTCCTTAGCATTGTGCTACTCTTTAAATATCAAGTATTATACCAGGGCTGAAAATGGAACTGATGTTGAATTTTATATTAACTTATAAAATTGTGATATTTATAATGGAAACCCTACCATACTGCTTTTCTAAAATACATGAAACATATATTTATGTCTGTTTTCACGGTAGTATTCAGATCCTAGCTCTGAACACTAGATTCACACTGGTACAGTGCATTGTTCCCAGGTTCGCTCCAGCCTGCTGTCCTGCAGGGGTGTGGGCTCTCTACGCTCTCAACACTTGTAACCAATAAAAAAATATAATCATTGGAGGGGAGGAAATTAAGTTTTACTGCAGATGGGGGAATTGAACTCTGTCTGCTAATAGAGTTGTCTACTTAGAGCAGTGTTTCTCAAATTTGGCCACGGTGGCCGCATGTGGCCACCAGGGACTCTTCTTGCGGCCACGGCCTCCTGGGCGGTGACTGGGGGGGAAGTCAGCAATGGTTGGGCCCTGCCCACCTCTGGAGACACAAGAGCTGGAGGAGCAGGCAGCCAGTGAGTTCCCCACCTTCCCAGGGCTGGTGGGGTCAGGCTTCAGCCTAGGGTGTAGGGTGGAAGGCTCCAGTCAGGGGGCTTCAGGCTCTGTTCCCCGGCCATACAGTGGCAAGCTCTGGCCCAAACGTCACTCCCCCCTCCAGTGCACATCTTTTAAAAAAAAAAAAAAGGGGGGGGGAGCGGGGGGCAAACAAAACAAGCAAAAGACATAAGAAAAAAGACAAGAACATACAAAACACCTTATTTGTGCTTCTATTCTGTTTGGGTCCAGTAAAGAATAGAGACAACTGTACATTATTTTTATTATTGAGTCTGGAAAAATAATCCTACATAAATTACAATGATGTGGACATGTATATGTGCATATTTATTTGTTTTTCCTAAAGTTAATTATGGTAAGTATTTTAGGAAAACTTGTCAGAGTGCCCCACCAGCAAGAGATGGTGGCTGCATTCTGAGGCCACCAAATTTTTTTTTGTGAAAACCCCTGATCTAGACAGATTTATTAGTCAGATATTATACAGACTTATGTTTAGTGCTGGGTAGGAGCTGGTGGTCGTGATACATGTAGGTACTAATGACATAGGGAAGGGTAGGAGACAGGTCCTGGAGGCCAAATTTATGCTGCTAGGAAAGAGGTTAAAGTCCAGGACCTTCACAGTAAGATTCTCTGAAACACTTCCTGTTCCATACGTAGGACCAGAAAGACAAGCAGAACTGCAGGGTCTCAATGTGTGGATGAGACGATGGTGTGGGGAAGAGGGTTTTAGATTTATTAGGCACTAGGGAACCTTTTAGGAAAGAGGAACCTATACAGTAAGGATGGGCTCCACCAATACCAAAATAGAACCAGACTGCTGGCATATAAAATTAAAAAGATTGTAGAGGATTTTTTAAACTAAGGGCTGGGGAAAAGCCAACAGGTGTGGCAGAGCCAGGAATAGAACACAGGTCTCTTGACTCCACACTGCCATAGGCCAAACTGCCTCTTTTCAATTTTTGACTCTGCCACAGTGTTTCTGTGTGACCTTGTCACTTCATCTCTTTGTGCTACAGAGCCTAATCTGTAAAATGGGGATAATTCTGCTTCCTCTTTTTCTTTTGTCTATCTTATTTATTTGAATTGTAAGCTCTTCAGGGCAGGGACTGTTTATTACTAGGGGTTTATCTAAAATAGGAGTGTGTCACAGTGTTTTCTATTATCTGTTCCATACATAAATAATCTCCAAGGCATAATGTATTAATCTCTCAAATGAATGCTCCCAGAACACTTGTACTAGGCTCAGAAGTGGATGCTGTGTGAAAATTTGTGGGAAAGATAAGAGATCACATATAAAAATTATAAACATTTTGTCTACAGGTTTTATTGGCAGGAATTTCTTACTACAAAAAATAGTTTCTGAGGCATCTGATCTGAACATTATATGTCATTTTTCTACTACAGTCATCAAGCAGGCGACAGCACCCCCTAAATAAACATCTCTTCAAACCTTCAACTTTCATGACATCCCATGAACCTCCAGTTTATATGGATGAGGATGATGACAGATCCAGTTTTCAGAGCCATATGGATGCTGCAGCAGAAGAGGAAGTATCGGTATGTCATTTAAACCCAAAATTGCAAAATGTCTCACGGTGTTTCTTGACTGTTTAAGTAATTATATTTGGAAAAAGTGTCCTTACTTAAACATTGTCACGTATATATTAAACTGTTGTGAATTCAGTTGCATAAGCCAGGTGGAGCAGGAGATTGAATTCTGGCACTTCTTTGATGTGAAGAGTCAAGTACGGAAAATTCAGGGAAAGTCCAAACCAAAAAAGAAACGGAAAAAAAAATTGATACCAAGGAAGAATTAGACACTTCCGAAAACTTGTAATTGCACGTTCACATCTTCAAAAACAGTTCAGTCACTAACTGTGAATTATTCTGAACACCATATAACGTGTGCAGACATATTTCTGCCTAAAGTGTTGCACCAAAAGGACTAAATCCTTTCATCATTCTTTGGTATAATTGCATCCCATACTATATATGTATGGCTCTTTGTCTTACCTTAGTGGCTGGACTAATTGAGGTTAGATGCAGAGGTCCACACAGACAACCCAACCAGCAGTGTCATTACGTAATCAGTGGACTAGGTTTGAGGGCTTATAATATAAACATCTTTTCATACTTCTGTATACAATACTGTATGTAGGGAATAAATCCTACTGCTGAAGATGGGCTAGATTCTCCGCTTGTGTAAAATCAGCATGACTCCGCTGAAGTCAAAACAGAAGGATCTGGCCTGCTGAATTTATCTTTGTGAGAATGGAAGGGGGTGGGGGGGCTTATCAGTCACAAGCCTCACCCCATAACAAAAGGTAATGACATAGTCCAGTACAGATCAGTTCAGTTTTTCTCAGTGACTTTGTGACATGTACTGCATTTTCTTCATCTTAAATTGTTAGATACTCCTGGATCCATTGTTCAGTCCCAGCCACATCTCTTGTCTTCAGACATGCTCTGTCTTCTCCTTGTGACTTAATTTCTGAGCTGTCTGGGACATCTCTCTCCCATCCCCTACCAGCATATCTGATAACTTACTATTTTTCCATATGAATCTTAAAAGAGGTGAAACAAGTATTTTTTAAAATTAAATAAATTTAATTAAATTAAAAAATTAAATGTTAATATTTGCCTCTCTTTATCTTAGCAAATCTATCTGGAATCAATTGCACTTTTGTTGTGTGTGCGCAATTTTTTTATACTACATTCTATATCTGGATTATTTATTTATTTATTTTGCCAAATGTGCTTACATTTCACCCCATGATGCCACAATTATAGTAGGTTTAGGGAGCCTATATTTCAACACCAGTATTTGTTTTCAAGTTTGCTACTAGTAGGTTTGGGTTTTGGTTTTTGCAATGGTAATGCTTGACTTGGTCCTATTTTAGGAAGCGTGGCTTACCCTTTTCTTTCTTCACTAGTGCAGCATTTCAGATGGATATTTTTCTTATTTGCAGTAATGTAGAAAGAGACAGGTGAGCTCCATTACCAGAAAGATCCCATTATTAAGGCTAAGTTTTTGTCATGGATGATTTTAGTAAAAGTCACGGACAGGTCACAGGCAATAATGAAAAATTCATGGAAGCCCGTGACCTGTCCTTGACTTTTACTAAAAATACCCATGACAAAATATGTAGCCTGGGCAGCTGGCTACGGGGGGGCTGGGAGCTCCAGGGTCCCCCTCCTCTGGCGGCTCTAAGCTGCTGTGGCCCGGAGCTCTTGGGATCCTCCCTGCCTCCCACTGGCCGGGAGCTCCAGGGATCCCTGCTGTCGCCCACAGCGCATGGGAGCAGCAGGGATTCCCCCTGCTGCCGGGTCCCCCCTGCCGCTGACTGTAGCGGGGAGCGGCAGGGTTCCCCCTTGCCGCCCATGGTGGCCAGGAGCGGCAGCCAGGAGCTGCAGGGCTTCCCCCTGCCACCCGAAGTGGCTGGGAGCTGCAGGGGTCCCTGTGCAGGCGGCAGGGAACCCTGCAGCTCCCAGCAGGCGCTGGCTGAAGTCATGGAGGTCTTTGGAAGTCACGGATTCCGTGACCTCCGTGACTAAATCGCAGCCTTACCTATTATCAATGCAAAACGACAGTATTAGGAAAGCAAAAATATCATGCCCTGCTGACAAAATGAGTAAATTAGATTGAATTTCAGTATTCAAAGCAAGGCTCTCAGGTTATGTCTACACAGCAATTAAACACCCATGGCTGGCCCGGGTCAGCTAACTTGGGCTCGAGGATCTCAGGCTGCTGGGCTATAAAATAGTAGTATAGACAGTCAGTCTCAGGCTGGAGCCCAGGCACTGGGTCTCTCTCCCCTTGCAGGGTCCCAGAGCTACACTGCTGTTTTACAGCCCCATAGCCCAAGCGCCGTGAGCCCGAGTCGTCTGACGCAGGCCAGACATGGGTGTTTAATTGCAGTGTAGACATACCCACAGTGGCAGTTGCGTCATCTCAGAATGATTTTGTGGGGCATCACAGTGCAACCAGCAAATAGTGGGAAGGGTTTATTTATAGTTCTTGACTCTGGAGGCACCGGTTGCTGGTCCATAGTTAAGGCTAAGGCCTCATCTACACAGGGGAAATTAACTGGTATAGCTTATTCTGCATTAGCTGTGCTGGTCAACTTCCCTGTGTAGACAAGCCCTGAGTTGAGTTTTTCACATAAAGCAGGGATTCAGCCACTTCTTTATGTATGAAAAATACAGCGTGTCATCCCTAAAATTTTACAGCACTTTTACTTTGAGTATAAGATTAGTTTTCTGAGAATTTCCAAGCAAGTCCATTAATTAGTTTAGGAGTTAAAATTAAGTAATTCAAAATGGGTCCTTTCTGAAATTTAGCAACTGGTGTCAAACCTTTCCCCTCCCATCCCCCCCCCCAATGATCTTAGTAAACAAATAACACATACTCTACAAACTTCAGTATTCTTAAAACTCTCTGCTGTCTTGTGTGTAGGCTATATCTGAAGAATTTTGAAGAGTGTTAATTGTCACTTTTTCCTCATTCTTCATAACTGAATGTTTCTCCTTCAGTAGGAGATAAAAATATTTTAATACAGAGAATTCAACGAAGAACTGTCCTCTGTCTAAACAGCTGCCATCTCCCATTGCTGTCAGTGGCTCTGAAGCAATAGCTACCTTCAGTTGGGTGGACATTTTGAGAGAGAGACCTCAGTGGAACTGTCTGTGCTTTCTGACAGCCTGGTGGGCACCATCTTCCCTGAGATAGCTTGGCACTCTCACTAAATAAAATGGGAGATGGTCACTATTTAAAAATGAGAGAGCAAGTGATTTTTCATGAGGTTCTCTTAAGATGGTTTTTATGCACCAGCTTTTGGTAGCACATAAACTTTCAGTTATGAAAAATAATGGCAAAAATGACCATTGATCTTAAATATTCATTTTCAAAAGCTTCTTGTACCTTGTCTATTCCACAGAGAGGGTAAAAAAGGAGAGGAAAGCTAGGGTGTGTGTATGCATGTGTATGTGCCGTGGACTAAGAGGTGCTGGAGAAAAAGGGAAATAGGGGTGTGTGCACATATGGGGTCATTCTTTGGAACTTCGTATTTCCAGTGGCATAGAAGGATGCCTCCTTACCACTCCCACACTCTGGTGAACCAGGAAGTAGGACGTCAGGAGTTTAAAACTGACATTCAATAAAAAATATTCAATGAAAATTTGATGCCTGTCTTGGCTCATCAGTATATTTAAATGTGACATTGTCCAAAAACCCTAAACACAACAATCTTTAGGGATCTATCATTTTTGGCCCGCTTTCTCAGCTAGTTAAGGCACTTGAGCAGTCACTGGACAAAACTATCACTCCTCTGTAGAACAATGTTAAAGAGAACAAGGTCTAATTAATTTGATATAGTTTATGCTAAATTTTAATGCTCAGTTTCTTAACCTGTTACCAGATATTTGCACATAAAATAACCTAGCTTTGTATTGACAGAAACTAGCTTTTTTCCTCCATGTGTCAGTTCCCACTCAATATGTGCACAAATATATTATATACAAATTAAAGTACATTTCTTAAATGGAATTAAAAATATGAAGTAAAAGTAAGAGGCATAATCTGTAAGCTGTCTTCCTTATTAGAGGATAACCTACTGTAGCACACTGTATTAATACAAATAATAGTACTAAAAATATAAGTTAACAATAGATTTCTTTCCCAAAATAATTCTTGTACGTCTCTTAGGTAGTTTATTCTGTCAGTGTTTTTCTGAAAGAAATCTGATCACAATTTTATGTTGAAAGAAGCTAGATCTTCTCAGTAATGATATCCTCAAAGCAAAGGTTTTCTTTTTTGAACAGGATGAGGAAAGTATCCCGATATTGTATCGAGAGTTACCTGAATACAAAGAATTGCTAGAGTTAAAAAAGTTGAAGAAGCAAAAACTCCAGCAGATGCATGCAGAAAGTGGATTTGTGCAGCATGTGGGCTTCAAGGTAAGGTATACCAGTGATCTGTTGTTACATTAAAGCCTCAAAGATGAACACCAGCGTTGCAGACTGACCGGTCAACCGGACACCATGTGGAACCGGAAGTAAGCAATCAGGCACATCAGGACTGCCTGTCCCCAACCGCGGGGCAGCCACTTACAGCTAGGAGATGAAGATGCTGAGGTTCACAGGCACAGCCGTGAGCCCCCGCTGCCAGCCCAAGGCAGCCTGAGCAGGCAGAGCAGGAGTAGTGCAGCAGTCTGTGCCGCTTTCCTGTAAGCCGCAGGTGCTGTTTTCACCCCCTCCCCTTGGCCAGAAGGAAGACAAACTTACAAGCTCAGTCCAAGCCTGGGAAAGAAGCTGTCACAGCCTGAGCTGCTTATGCTGCAAGGAAGCTGCCGGTGCTGGGGTGGGAGCTGCTGCTCTTGCGGCCAGTGCCTGGCTTGGAGTGTGAGCCTGAGCTGCTGTGCTCTGGAGGAGCAGCTCAGTTTTAAAGGGCCACAGCCTGCACAGCACACCCACTGATGCCACAGTGCTCCAGGGTGCCTCACTCATCACCCTTGCAGCCAGGGGGCTAGAACCAGCTGCCTGTCCCTGTCTCCATGCGCGGGGCAGCCACTTACAGGTAGGAGGTGAAGAAGCTGTTCAGAGTTATGAACATTTCGAAGTTACAAACAATCTCCATTCCCAAGGTTTCTATAACTCTGAGGTTCTACTGTATTCAGTTTAGTGTGAGCATTTTTTTAAAACTAGCAGGAAGTGGATTTTCTTAGAAAAAAGGAAACTTTCCTTTTCAGAGTGATAGATATATAGGAAAAAATAATTATGGAAATATGTAATATCATAATGCAGGATTTTGTCTTAGAAATTTACAGACAACACAATAAAACTCACTGTAAAGAAAAATAAATGACTACAGCTATCTGCACTGGTTTATGAAACCCATCTTGGAATCTAATCTCTTTTGGGGTACTGGGGTATTAAACCTTAAAGGGTGAAATTAATCCCAGTTAATAGTAGCAAAGTTTCCCAGTCACTTAAGAATTAGTCCTTCAGGAGTTTGTCCTTTTTGAAGGAAGAAAAGCCAGAGATGTGGAATGATAACGTTGGTAGATCAATAGGCAGTGTACTGAGGCTGTAGCTGCAGAGAAAAATTGCAGCAGCATTTGGGCCAGCTCCAGGCAATTTTTGAAGAAAGGATTCAAGCAAGGAAATAAAATAATATTGGTATGAGATGAATAAAAATAAAATTTTTACACTTAACATACAGAGACATGCTATCCACAGCACCATCCGTTTCTAGGCAACATTGAAAAGGGAGGGAATGCCCAAGGATACCTGTTGTAGTTTGAGAGGATTTTCAGTCATTACCAACAACCTTCTTTGTAGCTGTTCCCCATGTATGGAGTCGTGCAGGAATTGCCTTGACTCCTTAGAGATGAGAAAGGGCTTATTGGGATTTTTTGGTAGTTGCCTTTTCTATGAGAATGCAAGGTCATTCAGTCCACGGAAACTGACGTACACTTGAAAACTGACACTGTCAGGCTAGTAACATACTGATACTGACAGATTTATGTCACAGTATTAGAAAGCTGAGGCTTTTTTAAATGAATGCTCTTATTGTAGTTCAGAATATAAAACGTGGACCTTGAGCAGGAATATTGCAATTCTAGTTATAACATAGAATGGACAAAGTAATTTGAGTTACTTATTTAGAACTTTAATATACTATATTCAAAATTTTATTAAGGTTGCAAAATCAAGCACTCAAAAGTTAGGAAATCCCAGAATTAAGGTTGTCTTTGCAACCTTAATTTGCCCCCTGTGTGTATGCATCATGATACAGTTTTTAGTTACATGAACACATACTGTATTTTTCCACTGGACTGCCAGCTCATTCAGTGCACAGGATGGATGTTGCTCTCTTAATGAATAGCTATTCAATCATTTGTTTTTTTCCTGATTGTTCAAAGTGTGGCTTCTTGCCTCATTTAGATTATTTAAACCCTGGTCAGAATACACAATTGTTTATTTTTTCATGGGCTTTTCTTTGCTGCTCATCACTGTAGTATCTGAGTGCTTCACAAACATTAATTATTCTTCAGAACAGCCCTGTGAGCTGGTGGGGGCAGAACTACATATTTTTTCCTTAGCCTTGTTCTTGGAAATGACTGAACTATTTCGGCTGAATTAAAAATAAATAAATAAGTAAAAATCAGCCATAGGCTAATACCCAGCATGGAAAATCTCAGTCCACATGTTTTTTTGGCAGAGTTATAAGCAACTGAAATTAGAGTCTTATCATGGGAATTGTCAAGCAACCTTAACAATAAGTGGAACTACCAGCCTTGCCTGTAGTACAAGTTATATATGTATTGAACTCGGAAACGCTACTGTGTAATAAACCTAAGCTAATGTATGTTCTTCTTCAGGTGCTTGTTCATGTTGATTCCAATCAGGTGTGTGCGCACGCACGTGCACAGTAGCCGGAAGATTTTTCCCTAGCAGCAACCGTAGGGTCGGCCTGGGCGCCCTCTGGAGTCACGCCTTCATGGTGCCCAATATAGAGCCCTGCCGACCCGCCACCCCCACAGTTCCTTCTTAACGCCAGTGACGGTAGCTGGAACTTCCCTTGCTCTTGCTCCTGTTGTACTCACCTTGTTTATTCAGATCGTGTAGTTTAGTATAGTCAGTCAGTTGTAAGTTTCATTTATAGGGGTTTCTCCCCTACTGCCCCCCCTTATTTGTTGCCTCTGGAGCATGCCACGATCCCTGGGCTTCAAGACCTGCAAGGACTGCGCGAAGCGCATGCCAACGTCGATGACCACCACGGCGCAGACACACCATCAGACAGCGCCATCGGCACCGGCATGGGGGCCGACATCGACGCCTGTACCTGCGCCTTTCACGGTGCCAAGACCGGACCATTCCACCACTGTCCCCACCGGCTCAAGAGATCCCTCCAGCGGGGATGGAAGGGAGCAACCACCTCCCTTGGTGGCCTCCTCCTCATCTTCCCCAGATGAGGCGCTTGCAGGCACTGCCATTGCCCCAGCTCTGGAAGACTCCAGGGTGTTGCAGCAGTTGCTGCGCTGGGTCGCACAGGGTCCGGGCATTAAGGCAGAGAAAGTTGTAGATAATGCAGACCCTGTGGTGGACATCCTGGCCCCTTCAGGCCCTTCCCGTATCACCTTACCACTAATCAAAACTATCACAGACATGACCAAGACCCTATGGCAGATCCCAGCCTCTCTGCCACCTACCGCCAAGTGCAATGAACAGTGGTACTTTGTGCCCTCCAAGGGCTACGAACATCTGTACACTCACCCACAACCTGACTCTGTTGGTGGACGCTGCTAACCAGTGAGAGAGGCAGGGTTTCCAGGGCCCTTCCTCCAAGAATAGGGACACAAAAAAACTGGACCTATTCAGGCAGAAGGTATACTCCACAGTGGGACTGCAACTCCGCATTTCCAACCAACAGGCCATCGTCAGCAGGTATGCCTACAATGCCTGCTCGGCGATGGCTAAGTTTACAGAGTTACTTCCCTCAGACTTCCGGGCTGAATTCTCGGCTTTGGTCGAGGAGGGGAGATTGATCTCTAGGACTTCCCTGCAAGCAGCACTTGATGGGGCAGACACTGCCACTAGAGTCATGGCCATGGGTGTAGCCATGAGAAGGGGCTCGTGGCTCCAGGTCTCCCCTTTGAAGTCCAACAGCCCATACAGGCTGTTGGCTTTCAAGGGTGAGACTGTTTTAGAAAAGACAGACAAAAGGCTAAACAGCCTGAAGGACTCCAGAGCCACCCTCAAGTTCCTGGGCCTCTACACACCTTCCACTCAGCTGAGACACTTCCAGCTGCAGCCCACTTAGAGGTTCAGTCAGCAGAACCACCAAGATGGCTCCAGAAGGCGGAACAGAAGCGGCAGGTGAAGGCCGCGTCAACCTTCTGGCCAGAGCTCAGGACAACCGAAGCCGTCTTCGGGACCCAAGCCTGCCTTTCGAAGGCACGGTCGAGGATGGTGTACCACACCTGGAAATGGATCCACCCTGCCTTACCTTCTCGTCCCAACTATCCCCTTTCCACCGTGTATGGTCCCTTATTATCTCAGACCGATGGGTGCTCCGCATGGTAGAGAGGGGATACTCCATCCAATTCTGTGCCCTTCCACCCCCCTTCCCCGTCCCTCTTCAGGGAGCCTTCTCACAAGCAACTCCTTATCCAGGAGGTGCAGTCGTTCCTATTTTAGGGGCAGTGGAGGAAGTTCCTCAGGAGCACAGGAGCGAGGGCTTTTATTGCTGGTATTTCCTAATACCGAAAGCCAAAGGCGGCCTCAGGCCCATCCTGGACCTGCGGGAACTCTACAAGTTTATAAAGAAACTCAAGTTCCGCATGGTCTCTCTGGCCTCCATCATTCCCTCATTGGATCCAGCAGACTGGTATGCCGCCTTTGACTTGAAGGACCCACACCCCCAATCACTGTGCACTCCGCCAGGGCGCAGGCTTTATCAACAACATTCCTGGCGTAGGTCCCCACTCAAGAGATCTTCAGGGCAGTGACGTGGTCCTCCATCCACACTTTCACCACGCACTATGCGATTACCCAGCAGGCCAGAGACGATGTGGCCTTTGGATGAGCAGTGCTCCAATCAGTGGACGACTCCTACCCCTCTGTCCGAGTAGCTGGCAAGAAGGAACTGAGGGGGTGGCAGGTTGGCAGGTTGCCACGAAGGTGTAACTCCAGGGGGTGCCCAGGCCGACCCTATGATTGCTGCTAGGGAAAAATCTTGCAGCTACTGTGCATGTGCGTGCACACACACCTGATTGGAATGGACACGAATGACACATCTCGAAGAACAACGGTTACGAGAAGGTGAGTAACGGTTTTTTATCCTAACGTACAGCTTACCTTAAAAGGTTGCTAATGCAGCTGTCTAGTGATACCATGTTTTGCTTCCATGTAGAGGATCTCAAGTTCAGGCATTTCAGATCATCGAGTTTGAAGAATTGCAGAGTTGTCATGCTCATCCCAGAGCTAGAAAGGACTGCCTTGTATCATTTTGCAGCAACTCTTCTGGCCAATTTAGGACTGGCACTGATAGGTTCCAGAGGAAAGCATGTCCATCTGTTGTTGGCCAGAAGGATAATCGCAATGGGGAGCCTTGAGGGAGTGGGGAACAAAGCAGAAAATAGGATGATCATCAGCAGTCTGTGGTCTTTCCTAGGATCTGTTAATTTATAAATACCAGAGAGACAAGATGGGTGAGATAATATCTTTTATTGGGCCAACTTCTGTCGGAGAGAGAGACCAGCTTTCAAGGTTACACAGAGCTCATCTGCAGGTGGTGATGATTTTGGAAGAAATCATGCTTTTTATTGTCCTCTGAATGCAGTACATTGGTCGAGATGAAACGATATATATTTTTAACATAAAGTCTTTCTTTCGCTACCTTTTTGTTCAATATGTTTCACAGTGTGACAACTGCGGAACGGAACCCATTCAAGGCATTCGGTGGCACTGCCAGGATTGCCCGCAAGAAATGTCCTTGGATTTCTGTGATTCTTGTTCTGACTGGTGAGCAGCAAGCATTGATGCTTATTATTTGCAATTATTTGAATATCCCTTTAAGGCTTAAACACTGAGTAAATTCTTTCCATATGTGGGATTTATCTGTTCCATGATGCCTCTGGAAAGTTAGTTGTAACTAGATTATAACTGTAATGTGTATTTCTAATAGTTTTTTTTTGGTGTGTTTTCTGGTGGGATGTGAAAGTCAATCATTCTTTCAGTGCAATGGAGAGAGTAATTAATATTTGGACCATTAAGTATGAGTCAGGGAAAGTATGTTATCTGAAATCGTCAACTGTGAAGTAATGGTGTGTGATATAGAATTTGACATGCATCTGTCAATTAAAAAAAAAAGAAAGAAAATATATTCATTGTTCTTGAAGTGAATATATTATGAAAAATAAGTTCACTTGCCAAATTGTTTTCTTTCCTTTGCAGTCTACATGAAACAGAGATTCACAAGGAAGATCACCAGTTACAGCCTATTTACAGAGCAGAGACATTCTTAGATAGAGACTACTGCATGTCCCAAGGCACCAGTTACAATTATCTTGACCCAAACTACTTTCCAGCAAATAGATGACATGGGAAGCAGACTTACAACCTCGGGCTTACTATCCTCTTTGAAAAGTAACAATGGCATCATTGTTAATTCCGTGCACACTTTGGAAAGACTCTGCTTTCCCTGAAATGTCACTCACAGCATGACAGCTTCCTGGGTGTACTCGTCAAACTACAGCTCTGAACTGTCACGGTTCTTGATCACTGAACAGCAGCTGAACATTCCTAGTGTGCAGAAGGTTTCACTGGGAGATTTTCCTTTTACCACCTTAGTCATTTTTAGGTGGTGAATCTAAAACAAAACAAAAAAGAAAGGAAAAAAAATACAGAAAGGTGAGCCAGAAATGAGAGCACGCATTTAAAGATACAATAAATTCCAAAGGCTTTGAAGAACTTGGTTATGAGATCCAGAGAAGATGAAGTATTTATATAAAAACAGTTTAGTAGCTTGCAGTTTTGTTGTGAAATAGTTTTCAGCACAGAAACTGACTTCTTTAGGCAAGGTTTTAACCAATGACAGTGTTTGCTTCTAGGATATACTCTAAAAAATACTCACTGTTCCAGTGATGGTTGGTTACAGGTCTTTATTAAATTGGAGCTGCTTAATCACATTGACTTCTAATTTTTTGTTTTTTTGTTTTTACCACAATGAACTCTATTACCAACAGTGAAGCACTACAGGGAGCAACTGTTGCATTGCTTCCTTAACCAGCTCATGGTTTGTGAATGTTATAAAATTGTCACTCAGATATATTTTTTAAATGTAATGTTATATAAGATGATCATGTGATGTGTACAAAATATGGTGAAAAGTGCCAGTGGTAGTAACTGTGTAAAGTCTCTAATACTCAACATTAACTCCTTTAAAATAAAGTACACAGCCTTCTGCCTCTGTATTTGGAGTTGTTAGTGCAACTCATCAAAGAAAACTGCCTAATATAAATCATATATATGGTAATAATTTTCCTCTTTTGTAGTCTGCACAAGATCCATGAAAGATTGTATTTTTATTACTATTTAAACAAGTGATTAAATTTAGCCTGAGCAGTGAGCAAAGGTTCACATGCATTCTTTTATACTGCTGGATTTTGTTGTGCATCATTTAAAACATTTTGTATGTTTCTTCTTATCTGTGTATACAGTATGTTCTTAAATAATGTTCAATTGTCAGGAGAACTGTGAGAAATAAACTATGTGGATACACTCTGTTTATATATAGAATGCTTACTGTGATTTCCTTTCTGGGTAGAAATTAACTTTTTAACCAACATTAACAATAGAAAATAGTACATTTTAGTAGGTCACATGAATACGTAAAAGGCCCATATCTGCATTGGCTCAGCACTTGGCACTGCTGTTGACTTCAGTGGGAACTGAACGGACACTGCACCTAATAGAATGTGCTCAGCCTCTTGCAGGATAAGAGCCTTAGTTTTCTCATATCTTGTTCACAAATTGGGTTGGTTTCTTTTCAGACTGAAGAAGAAAGGAATGTTAGCAACTTCTGTAGGCTGTGTTAATCTCAGAAAGCGCTGATGTCTGCAAAGCTTTGTAATTACTGTGATATTTTTGAACTAATAACTTTTTTATTGAACTGTATAGCTTGTGATTCAGAAACACGCATTATTTTAAACTGTATTCGTTTTCCACTTACTTAAACAAAAACTTGAATTTTCAGAGTGATTAGAATGTAAAAGAAACAAATTGGCTTAAAACCATGGCAATAAGAAGGGTAATTGGCTGATTGCATTTGATAGTAACTTTAGCTGTAGCCTGATCACAGTGTTAAATTTCACAATTTCATGTAGGTGTAATTACTATTTGTTTCTAAGGAAAATAACCATATAATATATTGAGTAGATAATATAGTACAATTACTAAAAACATTGAATGATGTAATACATCATCTGTACGCATATCTCATATACTTTGAGAAATTAATAAACCTAAAGATATATAATACAACAAATATACCAGATGTACTTCACTTTTCTCTTTAATGAAAGACAAAAGCTATTGTGTGATAGAATCTATAATATCATGGGAACATAAAATATTATGTTCTCCCACTCAGTTACACTCTGTTATGGAAGCTGTTTTGGTGAAGAGCGATTACCAAAGAGAGAAATCTGTTGTCGTCATATTTTTGATGGGTTTTTAAAATGTTCTTAGAGGGAAATAACCATAATACATAAGTGGGGAAAAAATTACAAACGTGCACAGGGGAAAGGTTAATACGGTTTGAAGGGGAGGGGCGGAATGGGGGGTTGGGGAGAAAGGGAATTCAGACCTGAAATCCCTTAGTTAAAATCTCTTGATTAAAGCCCTGTTTCTAATTTGAATGAATATTTGTGTGTATAGATGTGCGCGCGCGCACACACACAATTATCTCTCTCTCACACAGTATATATGTGTATGGAGATATGTGTAAGAGTGGTGGATATCAAATATATAATATACTCACACAGAAATAGTGCTGCTTATTGAGATGGGGGAAATCTTATTTGTGTGTGTGTGTGTATGATACTTGCAAATTGATTCATGTAATGTTTGCATTCATTCTAGATTGGCATCACAGCAGCTATACCTGATGGACTAGGACAGTGATTTTCAACCTTTTTTCATTTGCAGACCCCTACAAAATTTCAAATGGAGGTGCAGGACCCCTTTGGAAGTTCAACCTGTGATCCAGAGACCCCTACAATAGAAGTCTTAGACTTAAAACTGACTAAACAGAATTCAACTGTAAATGTTTCAGGGCACAGCATGTGACACAGTGTGAGAAAGGGCACTAAACTGTGGGCTTCTATTGTAACGACAACACTTCTGGGTTTTACCTGAAGGTGGGGGTATTCACATACTTTTGATTGATCAGAAAAACAGAATGCCTTTTCTGAGCTCTGAAATTTTATTTTCATAGTCACCATGCGCGGACCCCTTAGACTGAGGCCTGGTCTACACTGGGGGGAGGATCGACCTAAGATATGCAACTTCAGCTCCGAGAATAGTTGTAGCTGAAGTCGACATATCTTAGGTCGACTTACCTCGCGTCCTCACGGTGCGGGGTAGATTGCTACCGCTCCCCCGTCGACTCTGCTTCCGCCTCTCAGTACAGGAGTCAACGGCAGAGCGATCAGGGATCGATTTATCGTGTCTACACTACCCACCGATCTGTGTAGACGTACCCATCGTCTGCAGATGTCCAGCGGGTCCGCAGATCGCAGGTTGAAAACCATTGGATTAGGAAACGTGATATAAGAAAGAGGGGTGGAATTAAGGGTAAAATTTGACACACTACATTTAAAATATGGAATTGTGTGTTGACTAATATTGTAAATAACTTTTTGAATTAGAAACTGATGATCAGTTTCTGAGGGACAGCACCAAAAATCAAAGTTTCACTTTTCACTCATTTTAATTGTAATTCTAATGAGAAATAACTCAAGAAACAACTAGAAATACCTATATGTGGGTGTCCTTAGGATAATTTACAACCACATGATCATTCTAAAATCCTCTAATTACTGGGAAAATAGCATAAGAGTACAGCCAGTAGTGCCACCAGGTTCAGATCTAGGCTAAAATGATGTTTCTCCTCAGGCCAGAGGAGTCTGGCTGCATTCTGAAGGTAAATTGATTATTTTCAAGAAGTGGTTTGCTAGACATGTTGTATCCTGTACCCTTCCAGTTGGTTCACGGCAATGTTCTGGAGTTGGCATAGCACCTCAATTGGTGTCCGAGGGAAAGGTTAACTTATAAAGGAACCCAAGGAAGCAAGAACATCCACAATTCAAGGAGAAGAGCAGGTCTAAAATTGCCCTTTAGTGAATAACTGAAGCTATTGCTTACGGGGCAGATGTCAAGGAAGTAGAAGAAAAGCGCAAAAAAAATTAAAAACTCTGCCCTGATTTGGGGGGAAGGGAGGGGAGATTAGAGTGCTTTATTTGATTTATATTTACCAATTATCCATATTTTATGGAGCTTTAGGCAAAATCAAACCCACGTGTACTGCAGCATAAATTACGACTCTTAGCATTTGTCCATACTTTTTATTTGTATTATGTCTTCATTACAAGAAAGATAACTTTAAAAATACAAATCTGCCCCATAAATGCTCAGTGAAAGTACAGTTGTTGACACAAAGATCAATCATGCAAACTTAAACTGTGGACTTGTGCAACAGCACGGTAAGACGATGCAATTACTTCACAAGAATGTCAAATAAGGTTTGTTTGTTTTTTGGCTACCAGTGTACCAAAAACCAACATTTTGGCTGAGTATGATTTTGCATATTTTTGTGCAGATATTTTGGAAAGGTGGATTGTTAAAGATACAAGCAACAGGAATCAAACAATCCCTGCCTTTTTTTTTCTTTTTTTCTTTTTGACTGTCATTTTCAAAGTTTGGCAGTGCCACTAGAAGACAACAGATGAGGATCCAAAACTGAAATTTACACTTGGAATACTTAGAGAGTATGATTTAATGATATCTGCTAATCTTTATACATAATGGCTGTTGAACAACTTCACATGCTAATTTTTAACAGTGAAATATGCTACTATTATTAGCCTGGAGAACTATTTGTTTGCACTTTTAATTGTACCAACATTATTCAGTTCATGTTTTCAGCAAAGAGCAAAGGTATCCCTGCCCAATTAGAAAATTGTTACAATATACAGCAAACTCTAGCAGCACAACAAAGATTTCACAGCAGTTTTGTCTGTGCGATGGCAACAGATGGACAGACCTCTACAGTGTTTGTTAATTTCTTCATGTTCAGTTCATTTTTGCAATGCATTGACAGTGTTTTGGGGAAGTGTTAAAAGTCTATTCAACTTCCACAGCTCCACAAATTAGCATAACTAATTCCAGGAATGTTCCATTATAAAGCACAATGGCAGAGAACAGATTTCAACCACTATAATTCAGGAACAAGCTAAGTGTTAGCACAAAAATGAACAGTGTTAATTAATGAAAGAAAGGGAAAAAAACCTCATTGCAATGAGACAGAGCAATCCTGAAAGTCTTTGCTATATGGCAGTTGAAGGAACTGCTGATTGTGCAATACATATGATTATATTCAAATGCATGATACTATAAATATAAACTGGAGCTGCTGTTCACCATGCTGCTGTTAACCTGTGAAGTGCAAACAATTTGATAAACAACATACAGTACTAGTGTGGTTTTAGTGTGGAGACCATTTTGTATTTAGCATACTGTATGATTATAAATAAAAGATTTATTTTAAAATAACATTTAATACCACATGCACAAATTCCAGATATCTCTCAAGACAGCAGATATTGCTTTAAACAGCAAGTGCACATGAGATGAAACTTTGTATGTAAACCATTACTGTACTTCTGCTGAAAGAGACAATGCTTCCTCTTCCTTTTTCAGAAAGCAGTCGACTGATGTGCAGACTTGAAGAAAAACCTCTTCTGGCGTTCCTTCTGCATTTATCTATTAAAACAAAACATACATTAGATAGAAATGATGTGAACACACCAGCCTATGCTGATTAAGTTGTAACAATTTAAATTACCCATGTTGTCTAAATAATTGATCCAAAGGACTCAGAGCAGTACTAATTCTGGGTTATTGGATTTGGGATTGGATTTATAAACATTCTCCTGAAGAAAACCTACTGTAGTGTCTGCAGCTTCTGTAAATGCTGAACTGGAAAACAGCGTATTCATTTCGTATGCTTCCACTAGATTACATGTGGAGGTTTCGTAGGTTGCGCAAGTGTACATTGATCTTTCTGCAGAGTCCTTTGAAGTTTAAAATATAACATCTTTGATATATGGAAATGACTAAAATTTATGGGATTCCTATTTTAACACTATTTTATGTTAAACATAAACTTAATAAAATAGCCCCATTTAATACTGGTAAAAAAATAAGTCACCAGCACTGGCTTGTTTACTGTTTTCTTGTCATTTGAACAGTAAACAAGCCAGTGCTGGTGACTTATTTGAAGTGACAAGCCAGTGCTGGTGACTTATTATATGAAGTGTCACTGCATATAATCCCACAGCTCCCAACGTAGCTTGTCAGTTTTGAGTTTTTTGTATTTCAAGCTTTGTGAATTTGTTCCAGTTTTTTCATGACTTCTGGGCAGTGCATGTTCTGCAGTGGGCACTGCTTTTGTTCTGGATCACTCACTTTCTTCAAAACAGATGATAAGTGAGTTTTTCTCTTTAGCTTGAGTTCTTCACAGATTCTGCTTTGACCAAATGTTCTCCTGGCTGTTAGGCTCACTTTGGAGAACTAAGAAAGACTAAAACGGCTTCCTATGCTGTGGAATAATTACCAGTGTTTTGGCTGTGGGGAATAGAGTTTACAGCCAGTAATTGTTCTGTGTATTAGATGGGAAACGTGTAGATTAATACAGCTTATTTCTTTTCATTATTAATCGATTTTCTTTGTAGTTAGTGTCAGATGCTTTTTTTTTATTCTGCATTTCATCTTTGGCCTATTAAAACCATTCATACACCTCTCGTATTCCAGAAATATCTGCAAACTGGATCTGTAATACAATCTATTATGTTTATTACTATGATAAATAATGGCTTCATCTGTGCAGTGAAACAGAATTTGAGGTCTGAACTAAAGTTTCAATCTCTAATTCAATTGTTTTTTCCAAAGTATGAAACTCTACACTGTGTGCACATAAAATACATATTTTAGAGCAGCAGAATTTCAGTGCAAGAAAAATTCCTTGTAGAAATTTTTTTATTTCTCAAATTTTTAAAATACAATATTAGCTGCCCATTCAGGGCTCTCGGTGCCTATCCCATAATTTTAAAATCACTAAATAAACAAAGGCCTGTCCATAACTAGAGCCACTTCAGCACATTCTCTCCTCAACCGCCTTAGAGAAGAGGGGGAAAGGATATGTTTTGCAATGTGCCCAAAGTAGGGTGACCAGATGTCCCGATTTTATAGGGACAGTCCCGATTTTGGGGTCTTTTTCTTTATATAGGCTCCTATTACCCCACACCTCCATCCTGATTTTTCACACTTGCTGTCTGGTCACCCTAGCCCAAAGGTTAACAACTCTGGATTCTGGTGGATCCGATGGGGGACGGGTGGGGGGGTAAGTTCTAAAAATCAAGGATACCCTGTAGCCTATGTCTCTTACTCTCCCTCCTACCTATTGAAACAAGTGAGGTGACAATATCCATTGCTGTAGTACCCCATGAGCCAGTGCATGGGCCAGTGGAACTATTGCCCACAACTACACTCTGGGTTCTCTTAGGAGTCTAAGAACAGATACACCCGGGAAAGGATCCATCCACCCCTCCTTGTGTTCACAAACAAACCAATTAAATCTCATGGTCAATTGTACTGAAGGCTGCAGACAAAGAATCAGCATGAGCACATTAGAGTAGTAGAACCTCAAAGATACGAACACCAGAGTTATGGACTTACTGGTCAACTGGACACCTTGTGGAACCAGAAATAATCAATCAGGCACCAGCGGAGACAAAAAAAAACCCAGCAAGTACTGTACTGCCTTGGGGCTTTAGACCTGGGGCTCAGGGCTTCAGCTGTGGGGGTTTGGGGATTTGGGGGTTGGGCTACAGCTGCAGGGTGGAGGGGTCAGGGCTCTGGGTCGGGAGGGAGGGGGAGCTCAGGGCTTCTGACCCTCAGGAGCACTGGGGCTCAGGGTTTTAGACATGGGGTGAGCGCTGGGACTTGGGGCTTCAGCCCTGCAGCTCTGTTCCCGGCTTCTGCCCCATGGAGGCCATTGGGACTCAGGGCTTTGCTACAGGGGGAGTGCTGGTTTCAGCCCCAGCACTCCGCTCGTGGGCTAAAGCCCTGAGCCCTGGGGTGCCCCCCCCCCCGGGGGAAACGGAGGGGGGGGGGGGGGGGTGGAGCTGTGGGGACCCCCGGTGCCCGCTGTGGGGCTGGAGCCCTGACCAGAGCTCCCCCCAGGTCTAAAGTCCTGAGCCCTGGTGCTCCTGCGGGGCAGAAGCCCAGAACGCTGGCGCCCCAAGGGGCAGAAGCCCCCCACCCTTCCCCCATGGCTGCAGCCCCAACCCCCCAGTGGCTGAAGTCCATAATGTCTTGTTCAGAGTTAGGGAACATTTCAGATTTATGAACCTCCATTCCCGAGATGTCTGTAACTCTGAGATTCTACTGTATCTTCATCCATTGCTGGGAGGAGGTTAGCAAATGCAACCAGTGTAGTTGCCTTGCTACCGCCTTCTGGGGGTATGTTTACATTGCAATAAAAGACCCACCGCTGGCCCAGGTCAGTTGACTTGGGTTTGCAGGACTTGGCCATGGGGCTAAAATTTGTAATGCAGATGTTTGGGCTTGGGCTGTAGCCTGGGCTCTGAAAGCCCACGAGGGGATGCATCTCAGAGCCCAGGCTCCAGCTTGAGCCCGAAAATCGGCACTGCAGCCTGAACCCTGTAAGTCTTTGTCAATTGACCCGGGCTCTGAGACTCGGCGCTGCAGGTTTTTTATTGCAGTGTAGACCTACCCTCAGTGACTCTTCCTAATAATAGGAGAGAGAACACAGGCCAATAGCCAGACTGTCAGCATCAAGAGTTGGTTTTCTGAACATGGGATTTGCAATACTTTATTTAAGAGCTGCTGGAATCTACCCACTCAATGGGAAACACTGACAATTTTGACCAACAATAGTCTCAGTACCACCACCACCAGCCTTCACCAGACATGAAGGGAAAAGGTCCAACTTGCAGGATATAGCACAAAGTTATCCCAGCACCTGTATAATCTCAGCGAGCAGCACTGGCTGAAAGAGAAGTTTGTCCCTTCAAGTGTACGATGGACCCTGCAAGCTAAGAACTTACAAATGGTACGGTAAGTTCAAGACTTTGTGTCCTCTATTGTGAGCTAGATCTAAATACAGTATTAAGGCTCCCTGTTTTTTGTGGTGCATCAGATTGGAACTTCCACTGCAGTTTTAGGTAACTTCCAACATGGAGGGTTTTAGTGTGAAGTCTGATAATGAAAAATACACTCAGTCCTATAGTCCTTGTGTTGTTTATTTTGGTATTATTTTCAGTTTATTTTATACTTTCCCCATATTTTTATTTCATTGCATGACTTTGTATTGAAAATACATAACTTGAAATTGCCACAGAGGAAGATGGAGTGTTTGACCATAGAAACAAGACCATGTAGGTACACTTAAGGTACCTAGGAAGGCAGTTAGCATTGTGAGATAAGCATATTTAGTTGGATGTTTTGTTAAAAAATGCTCACCAATCCAATTATAGTTAATGTTAACACTTACATTCCCAGGACTGGGGTTGCAGAATTACAATCCCATTGAGAATGATGGTGCAGGTCACACTTCTCCGAACTAGTTACTCAGGCTGTCTGCAAACATAGAGGCTTAGCTACATGGGAAGTTATCACAGACAGCGGCGGCTCCAGGCACCAGCGCTCCAAGTGCGTGCCTGGGGCAGCAAGCCACGGGGGGTGCCCTGCCGGTCCCTGCGAGGGCGGCAGTCAGGCAGCCTTCGGCGGCATGCCTGCGGGAGGTCCTCCGGTCTCATGGATTCGGCGGCAATTCGGCGGCGGGTACCCCGAAGCCGCGGGACCGGCGGACCTCCCGCAGGCATGCCACCGAATCCGTGGGACCGTGGACCTCCTCCAGGCATGCCGCCAAAGGCAGCCTGCCTGCCGTGCTTGGGGCGGCAATAAAGGTAGAGCCGCCCCTGATCACAGAATAAGCTAGGGTGTGAATTTAAAGCACACTAGCTATTCTGCACAAACTTCCCATGTGGACCACTTATGCCACACTAAAAGTGACTTTTGTGCTTTAGTGGACTAAACTACACCACAAAAAGAGTCATTCTTAGGCTTGGCCTACACATAAATGTTTTATTGGCATCTGTTGGTCATGCCAACAAAATCCCCAATGTAGACACAGCTATGCTGGTGGAAGAGTGCTTCTGTCCTCAGGACTAACATCACTCAGAGAGGTGATGTTCCTATGCTGGGAGAAAAAAATCAGTTTAGGCAGTCTGTATGCTAGGGGGCTATGCCAGCGTAGGCTCTGTAGTGTAGACATGGCCCTAGTGTAGAATGTGTCCACATGGGGAGCTACAGCAGAATTGATATTGCACTCTACACCCACACCCTCGCTTATTCCATGTTAACTTCCTCTGTAAACAAGCCCTTAGAAAAACTGTGCTACACTGGTTTCCATTCATTTCATATTTTAAAGAACTGTCCCCTATGACCATATTACCCATAACTGTCAGTTATTGTTTCTTGCATCTCTCTCTGAAGCAGATGAGAAACAATGGGGTTTCCACACCCAGGAGGTCACAAGGTAATCAGGAGGGTTGTGAGATGTTACATTTTATTACAAGCTAAAGCAAAAAAATCTCGCTTCCCCACATATTCTTACCCTTCAAATTCAAGTATTCTCTGCCAACCTTTAGACACACACACACTGATTATAGGGGGGT